AAAGAGCAAAACCGATCTCATTTGTAAGAGCTAAAATAATAAATCATTCAGTGATACTCGCGGCTTCCCTATGTCGAGGGGCAGCATCAGTCGCCTATTGGACACGGGCGCCACTGCCTGAGCCTGGCTTGATGTGGGAGGGAGGCTGGGGGAGTGTTGGGGAGGCTGGGGGAGGTGTTGGGGAGGGTGTTGGGGGAGGTGTGTGTTGGGGGGAGGGGTGGTTGGGGAGGTGTCCTGGGGAGGGGTGTGTTGGGGGAGGGGTGTGGCTGGGGGAGGGGTGTGGGGGAGGGGTGTGTTGGGAGGGGTGTTGGGGGAGGTGTGTTGGGGGGAGGGGGGGTGGCGGGGAGGGGTGTGTTGGGGGAGGTGTTGGGGAGGGTGTTGGGGAGGGCAAGGGGGAGGGGTGTTGGGGAGGGGTGTTGGGGTGTGTTGGGGAGAGGGGGGTGTTAGAGGGGTGTGTTGGGGAGGTGTGTTAGAAGGGGAGTTCGTGGGGAGGGGAGTGTTAGTGAGAGAAGAACAGGGTGAGATGTATGTATTTATGTATGTATGTATGTATGTATGTATGTATGTATGTATGTATGTATGTATCTATGTATGTATATTTATTTCTCATATTCTAATAATTTTTTGATTTATTAATTTTTTTCATTATTAGTGAGAATATTCTTAGTTTGCCTCTACCGTTACCTTTCATGTTTAAGGACACAGTAAGCCATGATTAAGAGGTTTTGTAGTGAACATCAAAGTGCCGGGAAGTTTGTATACATGTCCGTGTAAAAGTTTCGTCTTGGTGTTAAGCTCTTGAGGTGAGAGTATAATTATTTACCTCGTGAGTTATAACAGGTAAAGCAACACCTGGCGGGGAGGTTTTTTTTATTATTTTTTTTATTTTTTATTTTTAATCAGTGAAGGTATATTGTGTGTGTGTGTGTGTGTGTGTGTGTGTGTGTGTGTGTGTGTGTGTGTGTGTGTGTGTGTGTGTGTGTGTGTGTGGAGATGGTGAGGAAAAGATGGTGGTGAGAGATACTACGGGAAGCAGTTGCTTAGATTAGGTTAGGTTAGGTTAGGTTAGGTTAGGTTAGGTTAGGTTATGAGATATAGATATAATAACATGAAGTGCCGAGCGTTGATTACACACACACACACACACACACACACACACACACACACACACACACACACACACACACGTAAGCGGAATAATCAAATCAAATATGAGAGAGGAATTGATTGGCAATTTTAGGTAAGATTACACTAAGACATGTGTTGTGGAGCGATGTAGTACTTACCTTCCCCCCCCTCACCTCTGTACCATAGGGAGAGAGAGAGAGAGAGAGAGAGAGAGAGAGAGAGAGAGAGAGAGAGAGAGAGAGAGAGAGAGAGAGAGAGAGAGAGAGTATCTGGCTTTCAGAGAGCAGGTGCGGTTTATAGACAAAGTTCTTGGCTTACAGAGAAAGAACGAGAGAGTGTGGGTTAGGAAGGGGGAAGAACCATGAAATAAGAGAAATCAATAGAACAACCCTAATCATAAATATACATAACAAATATAAAAATGGAAACGGAGGTAAGTAAAATAATGATCTAGTTTTCAGAGCGAAGGAATCTAGACTACTATGTTGTGGTTGTCAGACGGTTGCAGGGTAGAGGAACACCAGAGGGGCAAGGCTGGAGGGAGTAAGAGCTGAAGCCTCGAGTAAGTAGCGGGATGGAGGATGAGGAACTACTACAAGTGGCGTGTGACAGGGGAAGGATGGCGAGGCATCTTGGAGGCGGGCGAGCGGGCAGGGAGGCGAGGAGGTGATCGAGCTATTGGGAGAGAAGGTTAGACGGGAACTACATACAGTAGACCGTGTTGGTAAACCTTTAGAACATATACTGTATATATCAAGGCTCCATCAGTAACCGTATACAGCCCTGACAGACAGACAGACAGACGGACAGACAGACAGACAGACAGACAGACAGACAGACAGACAAACAGACAGACAGACAGACAGACAGACAGACAGACAGACAGACAGACAGACAGACAGACAGACAGGGGGGAGCTTAGCACTCACTGATTGGCTTCGTTTTTGTGTGTCTGTGATGGCCGGGTGACCTCGCTTCACCTCTCAGGTTACCTCTAGTGTGTGTTTCACTTCCCTCACACACATTATATCTTCCTTCACACCTCACCTTCTCCCTCACACTTCTTCCCTCACCCTACACCTCTCTCACCCTTCACTTCCCTCACATCTTACTTCCTTCCTTCCTCACCCCTCACCTTCCTCAAACCTCCCCCACCCCAACCCCATCCCCCCCCACCCCCACCCCCCCATCCCCCCCACCCCACCCCCTCACCCACCCCACACCCCCACCCACCCCACACCCCTCACCCCCCCTCGCCCCCACCCTCCCTCACACACCCACCCTCACCCCCACCCTCACTTCCCCTCCCTCCCCACCCCCTCACCCCACTCCCACCCCACACCCACCTCACCCCTCCCTCTCCCTCACCCCTCCTCCCCCTCACCCCCACCCACCCCCACCCCCCCCCACCCCCACCTTCCCCACCTACACCCACCCCAACCTCCCACCCCACCCCACCCCCACTCCCCACCCCCCCACCCACCACCCCACCCACCCCCCCCCACCCACCCCCCACCCCCACCCACCCCAACCCCCACCCACCCCACCCCCACCCACCCCACCCCCACCCACTCCCCAGCCCCTACCCACCCCACCCTCAACCCCACCCCCCCCCTTCCTCACCCCCCCCACCCCACCCTCACCCACTCCCCACCCCACCTTCCCCAACCTGCCCCACCCATCACCCACCCACCCCCCTCACCCACCCAACCCCACCTCACCCACCCAACCACCCCCCCACCCACCCCCCCACCCACCCCACCCCCCCCACCCCCACCCCCCACCCCACCCCTCCCACTCCACCCACCCACCCCCTCACCCACACCCTCACCCACCTCACACCTCTCCCTCTCACCCCTCACACCCCTCACCCTCACCCCTCACATTTTCCCTGAACGCCTTCATATGTTGAGGTATCTGTTACGTGATGGTGCTGAGAGGAGAGAGAGAGAGAGAGAGAGAGAGACGTATCACAAGAAATCAAATAAAACGAAGATATTATTATTATTATTATTATTATTATTATTATTATTATTATTATTATTATTATTATTATTATTATTATTATTATTATTATTATTATTATTATTATTATTATTATTATTATTATTATTATTATTATTATTATTATTATTATTATTATTATTATTATTATTATTATTATTATTATTATTATTATTATTATTATTATTACTATTATTATTATTATTATTATTATTATTATTATTATTATTATTATTATTATTATTATTATTATTATTATTATTATTATTATTATTATTATTATTATTATTATTATTATTATTATTATTATTATTATTATTATTATTATTATTATTATTATTACCAATGAATTTAGATTTTGCCGAAGCTAGTTTATTGTGCACCCCATACTCATCCTGTGCCCAGAAGGATTACAGAGCAGAGGACACAGTTAGGTTAGGTTAGGTTAGGTCAGGTTAGGTGAGGTTCTTGTTCGTGTACTCTTTTTAACATAGAGTATACTGTCAGCAAACGCCGCTTCCTACCCTTTCTTGAGTGACGTCACAACATAGAGGCATGACGTCACAACACGGGGGCATAACGTCACAATATGGAGCTCTAACGCCCCCCACCCCGGCCTCCCCCAACCTCCGCCATGAAGCACCACTAATGGGGATCCACGAGGGAGGTAACGTAATTCTTTCTAGTGGAAGTGTGTCTTAATCCACCTCCCTCCCACGAGCCTGCTGTACTGTAAGGTTGCCATGTCATGAGTTGGTTGCCATAAGACGTCATGTGGTGTAGCGTCGTAAATTATCTTGAAGTGGGTTGCCATAAATTGTCCTGTCATGGTTTAGTGTGCCTTAAAGTGCGTTGCCATGAGATTGGGTTGCCATAAATTGTCTTGCCATGATTTAGTGTGCCTTAAAGTGCGTTGTCATGAGATTGGGTTGCCATAAATTGTCCTGTCATGATTTAGAGTGCCTTAAAGTGCGTTGTCATCAGATTGGGTTGCCATAAACTATCATAAACTTCGTTGCCATAAGATAGAGGAGGAAAGAAAAATGCCAGTGTGTTTTGTTATACGATTGAATGACAACTACTATAAAACAGATCCTCGATATAACGGACTTCCCTCTCCAAATAGTCCGTTAAATAATGGATTTCACTGTAAAGGCTGCTAGAAGTGTCTCTTCCTCCTCCTCCTCCTCCTCTTCCTACCCCTCCTTCTCTTCCTACCCTTTCTCCCTCTCCTCCTCCTCCTGCTCCTCCTACCCCTCCTTCTCTTCCTACCCTTTCTCCCTCTCCCCCTCTTCCTCTCTTTCTTCCCTCTATTGTCTCTCAGTTTACACAGTGTGAAGACCTCGACTCAGCTGCTGCCCATCAACCCTTTATACCTAAGTGATTTGTATTTATTCAATTATGTTATTTCTTATTATTTATTCATCTTTTTTGTCATTTACGTATTTTTCTTTTTTATTCCTGTTTATCATTTTTTTTTTCACATTTCCCAATACCGTTTAGCATTGGTCGGGAAATTTCTTCGTTAATAGTCAGTGTTTTAACCCCTTGAGGGCTATCATTTAGGTTAGGTTAGGTCAGGTTAGGTCAGGTTAGGTTAGGTCAGGTCAGGTCAAGTTAGGTTAGGTTAGGTTAGGTTAGGTTAGGTTAGTTTAGATCAGGTCAGGTCAGGTGAAGTTAGGTTAGGTTAGGTTAGGTTAGGTCAGGTTAGGTTAGGTCATGTCAGGTCAAGTTAGGTTTGGTTAGGTTAGGTTAGGTCAGGTCAGGTCAGGTCAAGTTAGGTTAGGTTAGGTGACAATGTTATTCTTTTTACATTTGACAAGTGAGTCAATTTATTTCCTTTTGGATTATCACTGTAAGTACACAAATTTACATACTTATTATTTATTGTTTCCTGTCGTAAAATTGTACAGTATTTTTTTTATTAGTTTATGAAGCCTGTCTGGGAAGGAAGTTTATACACGAACTGACTGAAAAGAAATGCCCTATATTGCGTAATCCGAAGCTGCTGTTCTACATAGAATGACTTAAAGTATTTCTTGGGTTTAGAACTAAGGAGGACGTATGTATAATGACTGTATGAGAGGATCTGGAGGCTCTATGTAGGGAAAGAAAGGCTCTATGGATACTAAAAAAGAGGCTCTGTGCATAGTTAAGAAAGGCTCTATGTGTAAAGAATGCAAGTAAAGGCCCATGCTTATTGACTGGAAAGATGTATGAAAAGGAATTCCTGCACAAATGAACTAACTGACAGGGTGAGTTCTGCACATAGGGATAATGTTACATGTCACTCTAGGCTTGTGGGTGAGGCTCTGCTACCGTCTGGAAGTTGGATCGTTGTAAGACTGAAGCGCTAACCTGAGGTCTTCTGGGAGTTTCTTCTTCGTGGATAGGGCCATAAAATTTGGCTTCGGTGGGGGCAGCTGGGTTCTGTGAGGTCTGTGTCACATCTTCATTCTGAAACTGTGGCGATACTGACAAGGGCTGGTTACGATCGTCTTGGTGGCGTTCTCTTAAAGAATTGGAAGCCTGGAACCTCTCACTTGGAGCAACTTGTTCCTGGTTGGTGGATTGCTGCCGACTCTGGAAGTTGGTTGTTTGGCTTAGTTTTGGTGTCTGTACGTGCTGTGAAGATCGATCAGAGTATTTCACACTCGCCTGGAAAGTGCCATCTTGTAGGGTGTCAGCTTCTGTTTGGGCTTGAGCTCTCTGATCAATGGAATCTATTTGAGGTACATCCTGCTGGTGATAATTGGATGATCGAGAATTATCACTATTCACGGGTGCGAAATTTCTTCTTTGTGGTGGATGAGGTTCAAGAATCACGGTATCTCTTGCACCATACCGTTGGTTCCCGATAGTCTTTGGATATACACCATCACCAACGATAGTCTGACGTTGGATCCCGGTTCCATAACGTCTGGTGGGATACTCACTTTGGTCAATGGTTGAACTTAGAGAATCATCAGAATATCTTTTGTTGTCATAAGTATTGTCACCTGTTGTTGCTGTTTGTTGACGATCAAATTGGTAATTTTTTTGCCCTTGGAAACGAGTTCCTTGAAGTGAATCCTGCAACTGAACTTTATTTTGCGGTAAGGACGGATTTCTCCTTCTGGTTTCATAGTCATCAATTAACTGCGATTGAAATTTCCTCCTCCTCTGACTCTTCAACTGGCTATCACTTTGGGTTTGAAGTTGACCCTGAGCCCTTGACTGGAACTGTTCATTTCTTTGGTTAAGATACAGGTCTCTATTTTGGCTAGAGAACTGACCTCTGTTTGGAGATTGGTACTGTGATCCAGCTTCAGTTTGGAATCTCCTGTTGTCTTGGGTTCGGAAGGGCCTCCTGTCTTGGCTCTGGAACTGCTCTCTCTCCAGGGTTTGGAATTGATTTCTTCCTTCTAGAACTTCCTGCTGGCTGTCTTGTCTGTACATTTGACTCTCTTCTTGAGTGTCGAACTGTCTGCCACCTTGGGTCTGGAACTGTCTTGTGTCTTGAGTCTGGAACTGACTGTCTTGACCCTGGAAATTACTTCTGTCTTGGGCCTGGAACTGACTGTCTTGACCTTGGAAATTAATCCTGTCTTGGGCCTGGAACTGACTGTCTTGACCTTGGAAATTACTCCTGTCTTGGGCCTGGAACCGACTGTCTTGACCTTGGAAATTACTCCTGTCTTGGGCCTGGAACTGACTGTCTTGGATCCGGAATCGGTTTCTCTCTTGGGTCAGGGAGAACTGCTTGCTCCTTGGAGTCTGGTACTGGCCTCTACTGTCACCATCCAGCTGACCTCCTTTCTGTGATTGGAATTGATTCTTGGCTTCTGTTAGAGGCTGCCTCCTAATTGTACTTGGGAACCTATTTCTGTGTTGTGATCGAAATTGTTCCCTATTTTGGGTTTGGGAATTATCTCTGACGTGAGTTTTGAACTGACCCTGGAAGTCTTGTTGAGTACTGCCTCTAGACTGCTCCTGCTTGAGGGATTGTTGATGTTGGTTATTGAAGTTCGTGCTAGTTGCCTGGCCTTCAGCCTCTGGGAAGTTGTCAACAAAGGCTCCAGGTCTCTGCCGGAATTCTTGTGTATCCGGACGAAGTTTTGCATTTTCTTGTTGGAAACTCTGCAAGTCTTGAGAAAACCCAGAAGGCCGCTCGCTGCCCCTTGAGGATCCTTGTGGGACCCTGGGTGTGTCTTGATGACCAGGGATGGCGGCGAACTGAGACCTGTCACTCACTTCTGATGACCGGGCAGCTGCAGTGTTTCTGTGCAAGAAAGGTACCCGGGCAGAAAAATCTTGTCTGGATGAGGAACTGGAGTCTTGGAACTGTGAAACTCTAGACCCCTGGAACTGAGAAGCTCTGGAGTCCTGGAATTGAGAGGCTCTGGAGTCCTGGAATTGAGAGGCTCTGGAGTCTTGGAATTGAGAGGCTCTGGAGTCCTGGAATTGAGAGGCTCTGGAGTCCTGAAACTGAGACGGTCTGGAATCCTGGAACTGAGAGGCTCTAGAGCCCTGGAACTGAGACGCTCTGGAATCCTGGTTCTGGGAATACTGGGGAGTTCTGGAGCTCTGGAAACGACTTCTGGAACGTGTACTACTTGATCCATGACCATTTCGTGAAGACTCGAAAGTGTTCCTCTGTTCCTGACGACCCTTCTGGCTGTTCCCTTTCATCCGTGCCCCGTATTCAGGTTCCTCGTGGTCAGACACATACTCCACCTGCAGGATCAACAAGAGGTCTGTAGGTCTTATCATATTTAACCCAAAGAAATATTACAGATCAGGTGAGAGAGTATGATGGCGAACAGAGAAAGAGGAAGGGAGTTGAGTAATACTTCATGAGGAAACAAAACGTAATTTATCCCCTTATTAAGTGTATGTATGTATGTATGTATGTATGTATGTATGTATGTATGTATGTATGTTAAACAGGATACGTACCGTAGCCTGGAAGCCGTTGTCCTTATCAGCTGAATACTTGACCACACGCATGGTACCGTCAGCCTCCTTCACACGGTATTCCCCAACCACCTGTATGGTACACACATACAGGGTTAGTGGTACACATACAAACACACATACAAACACGCACACTCGTATATATTACATGGTTAGTGGTACACATTTCTTATATTAGTATAAACACACACACCCACACACACACACACACACACACACACACACACACACACACATTTTAATAGCCCATTCAGTGCTCTCAAAACTTCACAAATTTAAAACCTAACCTAACCTAACCTAACCACCAGACGATTTTACTCAGCTTAAAGAAAACACCGAAAAGCACTTGAAGGATTAATTGATATAGGAGATGAATAATTTTTTTGGTTTGCCTTTTAATGAGACTTAATGAATGCGGTGTTGCGAAAAGACCAGTAATTTACCTTAATTATCGGGAGTTATAATTAGAATGGTAATTACCTTAGAACAATAATTAGGTAAGATACGGAAACAGAACTAGTATTAAAATAGTAGACCTTAGTTAATATCTTAGTTAAAGAGGGATACGATTAATTATAATATTACGTGTATTATTATTATTATTATTATTATTATTATTAAGGGAGGAATAGGGAATGGGGGGTGTGTGGGTGACGTTGGGGGGGCGGGGTGAGGGGGTGACGTTGGGGGAGTGAGGGGTGAGAAGGGGGAATAGGGAATAGGTGGGGGGTGAGGGTGGTAGGGGAAGAGAAAGTAGTAGGATGATGATGATGATGATGATGATGATGATGATGATGATGATGATGATGATGATGATGATGATAATGGTGGTGGTAGGGAGGAGAATCCACTTTAGAATGAAGCTTACAAAAGTAGAGCTTGGAGCCTACCTCACATCATCTTAACGAGGATAGGAACCTACAGTGATGGAGCCTAGAACCTGGAGCCTACCTTGCCTCCATCTCGGGTCTCCTGGTGGAACTTCATGTCACCGGTCTCCTCAGAGCGGATGTTGTAAGAGTACTCGTAGTTCCCCATCTAGGAGGAGGGAGAGAAGGAGGTTAAGAGCAGGTAACAGTAGCAAACAGGAGGGGGAGAAGTTGTTAAATACAGGTAACAGTAGAGCCGTACAACAGGTAACAACAGTAGACGACAATGAGTAAAACAGTAACTCACCTTCAGGTTGTCTTGTTCATCTTCGTGTTGTTCATCTTCGTCGTACTTGTGGCTGCCCCTTGACACTGCTGCCCCTCGAGGCCTGCTGGATAGTGTTGATGGTACTTCCTGTTGCTGGTCACTGTCGCCGCCGCGGAAGTTCCTCCTGAAGGACTGGCTGGCCTCTCCCTGCACCCCAACACCTGCAGCAGACACTCCCTTGCTGACACCAGGGATCTTCGGGTACTCGGCCTGGCCTCTCTGAAAGGACCCAGATGAGAAGGTGTCTGCTCCTACAGTCTGGTCTTGAAGGTCTTCCTGCTGGGGTCCCTGGCCATCAATCTGACTGCCAAAGGCTTCCTGTCTGTACGGCTGTCCTTGTTCGTGTGTCTGGTCTTGAGTCTGTTGTACTCTATAGTTCTTGAGGTCTGTCCCTCTTCCGTCTTGCCCTGACTGTCCTTCAGATTCCCGACCGTGGTGCTGCCCTGGTGGTGTGCTGAACGCCTGACCATGTTCGAGGCTGGTTGGGTAGGCCTCGTCGGAGCTGAACTGAAGGTGAGGGTCAGGGTGTTGAGGTGTCTGGACGAAGGTGTGAGATTCTTCCTGAAGGAGAGGTGTGTCAAGGAGGGCTGCAGGGGCTGGACTCTGTGGGGGAGACGTGGCCGATACCACTACCGCCGCCGCTACCAGGTACCCCACCACCTGTTGGATACAATAATACCACCTTACTACCACCACAACCACACCATGTTACCACAGAAATAATTATTATATAAGCATTACCATTGATCACCACACACCACTACCACACCACTACCACACCACTACCACACCACAGCACATCAAACCACACCATCACTACCCACCACCATCCACACCACACCACACAAAACCTCCAACTACCACATCCCACTACCACATCCCACTCCCACACCTCCCACTCCCACACCTCCCACTACCACACCACACTACCACACAGTGACCACCCACACTACCCAGGGATTATCATTACCATCAGTTAAGAAGGTAATTAAGTGATACAATTACTGGCTGTATTTATCAAGATCTTAAGGTTTTCATAATTGGTGGTAAGACGCAATCAAGATAAAACAAGATAGTTATGTTGTATTATAGTGTATTACTGTATTTTTGCCCACAGAGGATAAAATAAGCTTTCTGTATTTTTAACTCACGGAGAATCAAATAAGCTTAGTGTATTTTAACTCACGGAGGATAAAATATATCTATACATTATAACATTCTATTAACTTTCATCTATATGTCAGCTCATCTATCCTCCACCTACCCTCACCTACCCTCACCTACCCTCATCTACCCTCCATCTACCCTCACCTACCCTCACCTACCCTCCATCTACCCTCACCTACCCTCACCTACCCTCCATCTATCTTCACCTACCTCACTACTCCCCCACCTCACCTACCCTCCACCTACCCTCACCTACCCCTCCATCTACCCTCATCTACCCTCCATCTACCCTCACCTACCCTCACCTACCCTCCATCTACCCTACTAAGACAGGTGTACTCAGACGTACCTTAATCACAGCCATCCCGCAGGTGAGTGTCCCTCTATCACCTCCTGCAGCCTTTTTATACCCTCTAATTTAACCCTTCCCTCCCCCTTTCCCTTCCCTCCTTCCCTCCTTCCTTTTCTCCCTCCCTCCCCTCCCACCAACCCCTAGACCATACTTCCGCCTCTATATGAACTACCCCTCCCTCCTCCTCCCTCCTCCCCTCCCTCCTCCTTTTCCCTCCCTCCATGAGTCATTCATTCTCTCCTGTTTTCTCTCCCATTCCTCCCCTCCCACCCCGCCTTTACCTACTTCCCCTCCTGTTTTCTTCCGGTCTCTTCCTCTCTCTCTGTCCCTCGCCCCTCTACTGTTCCATGACCACACTCGCTTCCTTCATCTTTTCCTCCATCTCTGTTGATAGATTTTTCTCTGCTCTTCCCCTTCCTTTCCCTCTTCATCTGTCTCTCCCTTTCCCATCACCTTTTTCTTTCCTCCTTCCCCTTCCCTCCGTCAGTCTGCCCATCCCTCCCTCCCTCTCTTCCTTCCCTCCGTCTCTCCCTCTTTCCCTTCCCTTCCCTTCCCCCTCTATCCTCTCTCCCTCTCTCTTCCACCCCCACAATCCCCCAAAATGCGGTTAAAGGTGCACTAAATAACAACAACAACAACAACAACAACAACAACCCTAAAACAACAACAACAACAACAACAACAACAACTCTCCCCCCTCTCCTCCCTCCTCCCCTTATCAACACCCTTCACCCCCCCGTAACCCATAACCGGTAGCAGGAGGGGGGGTGAAATAAGTCAAGACAGTACTAAGCAACATCCTGTGGTAGCAGGGGCAGGTCAACTCTCAACACCTTTCTAACTAGAGTCAATAAGGTCGATTTTATTTTGTCTTAATTCTATACTGACTTGACTCTTCCTTGTGCTAAAGGGGTTAAGTCATCGTGCTAAAGGGGTTAAGTCATCGTGCTAAAGGGGTTAAGTCATCGTGTTAAGGGTTAAGATGTGTTAAAATTAGTATTAAAGGTTGTCATCGTGTTAAAGGGTTAAGTCATCGTGTTAAAGGGTTAAGTCATCGTGTTAAAGGGACTCTCATACAGAGAACACTACAGGTATCATTTCGTCCTTTACAACAGCTTGACTCAGTGTACGTGATGGTGTGGTTAGTGATGTGAAGGGAATTGATTCAAGTATTGTGTGGTGGTTGGTGGATGGTGGATTGTTGGTGGTGGTTGATGGTGGTGGTTGGTGGTGGTGGTGGGTTGGTGATTGGTGGTGGTGGTGGTGATTGGTGGTTGGTGGTGGTTGGTGGTTGGTGGTGGTGGTGGTGAGTTGGTGGTGGTGGTGTGATGAGTGGTGGTTAGTGGTTGGTGGTGGTTGGTGGTTTGTGGTGGTGGTGGTGGTGGTTGGTGGTGGTGGTGGTGGTTAGTGGTGGTGGTTGAGTGGTTTTGGTGGTGGTGGTGGTGGTTGTTGGTGGTGGTGGTTGTGGTGGTGGTGGTGGTTGGTGGTGGTTGGTGGTGGTTGGTGGTGGTTTGGTGGTGGTTGGTGGTGGTTGGTGGTGGTTGTTGGTTGGTTGGTGGTTGGTGGTGGTGGTGGTGGTTGGTGGTGGTGGTGGTTGTTGGTGGTGGTTGGTGGTTTTGGTGGTGGTGGTGGTTGGTGGTGGTGGTGGTGGTTGGTGGTGGTGGTTGGTGGTTTTGGTGGTGGTGGTGGTGGTGGTTGGTGGTGGTTGGTGGTGGTGGTTGGTGGTGGTTGGTGGTTTTGGTGGTGGTGGTGGTGGTTTGTGGTGGTGGTTGGTGGTTGGTGGTTTTGGTGGTGTTGGTGGTGGTGGTTGGTGGTGGTTGGTGGTTTGGTGGTGGTGGTGGTGGTTGGTGGTGGTGGTTGGTGGTTTTGGTGGTGGTGGTGGTGTGTTGGTGGTGGTGGTTGGTGGTTTTGTGGTGGTGGTGGTGGTGATTGGTGGTGGTGGTTGGTGGTTTGGTGGTGGTGGTGGTTGTTGGTGGTGGTGGTTGGTGGTTTTGGTGGTGTCTTTCCTTACATTGTGTATATATATATATATATATATATATATATATATATATATATATATATATATATATATATATATATATATATATATATATTTATTTATTATTTAATCTTTATTTACTCTTCATTTGTATACATTTTGTCTTCCTCTCTTTCTCTTTATCCCTTTATCCCTTCTTCCCCTTCTCCTATTCCTCCTTCTTCTCCTTCTGTTCCCCCTCCTATTCCTTCTTCTCCTCCTCCACCTCCCCCATGTCACCCTGCCGACCTTCGCCTCACATAAATACACACAACCCACAGCACATCCTTCCTCACCCTCTCGACGCGGCAGACAACTTACACCCACCTACAGGCGGGTCTTTCAGGTCCAGGTTCCCCTTACAGTTCTGGACAGGCCAGTTGGAAGACGATACTGATACTTCCCAGCTGATGTAAGGGTGATGAGAATGGCTTGTCACAGACGACGCCCTCACCTCCTGTAGAAGGGATTATCAACCTTCAGGGTAGTAATTCTCTTTTGGCCTGGTTTAAAAAGTGAGAGTGTGTCTAGCTGCTAGGAAACCAACCCCCCCATTTGAATGACTTGTGATGGAGGTATAGTGTGGCGGGATGTAGTAAAAGTTCTTATGAGTGGCACTAAGATTAATTCATGAGAACCAATCTCAGTCAACCTTTATGTAGCAATCTTAGTGGCACTCTTAAAATCTTATTAAATATTAAGGGTTGCAAGCGAAGGGGTAAGACACTAACCCTACTGACGAAGCGTACGATGCATGAAGGTGTGAAAGGGGGCGATAAAAGGTAAGGTTCCTGGATGATACTGAAGGTAACAACGCCTCTTAGGAGAATTATGGAGACGTCCTGGTTAAAAAGTGTGTGCGTGTGTGTGTGTGTGTGTGTGTGTGTGTGTGTGTGTGTGTGTGTGTGTGTGTGTGTGTGTGTGTGCGTGTGTGTGTGTGTGCTCGGCCTCTAGGTGCTACTGCTATATACTGACGGTGATGATGGTGATAGTGTCTGAGGGCAGTACTCACCTCCTCCTCCTCCTCCTCTTCTTCATCCTATTAATTATATCAAACTTCTGAGAATATTTTACTTTTGAACAAGACTAAATAATCCCGTTAAGACGAACCAGTTTACTCGTATGTCTTAAAGTTATGAGGAATAGCACTGTCTTGGTTTAATTCTCTTAGGTAAAGTGACTATACACAGATTATGAACTTCCCATGTGTGACTGACGGACGGACGGAACAGCTGACGGTAAAAACAGACAGCGCTAACTCCTCCTCTATCTCATTGTCTCTTTTCCTCTTAACCTTCTCTCTCTCTCTCTTTAGTAATTTTCTCATTTCGTCTCTTTGTTGAGTTATGTTAGGATATGGATATGTTAGGTTAGGTTAGTTTATGCTAGGTTATGTAGTGTTGGTGTAGGTGAGTTCTTGGTGAGGTGGGACGGTTAGGTTAGGTTAGGTTAGGTTAGGTTAGGTTAGGTTAGGTTAGGTTAGGTTAGGTTAGGTTTGGTTAGGTTATGTAGTGTTGGTGTAGGTAAGTTCTTGGTGAGGTGGGACGGTTATAACCTTGTTAGTGGCAGGCTAATTGGTTGATCGATGGGTTAATATAGAGATTAAGTTATATAATCACACACACACACACACACAACACACACACACACACACACACACACACACACGTAAGATAGATGAATAAGTACAATACATGAATACAGATATAGAAAGGTAATTAGATGGATAGATAGATAGAACGACAGACAGACAGACAGACAGACAGCACAGAGAATCAAAATATTAAGACAGAGTGTATAGGCACTTTACCGAGAACTTCATTCACTCATTTCCTACCATGTATGTAGTATGTAGTATGTATGTATGTATGTATGTATGTATGTATGTATGTATGTATATGTATGTTCCTCTCGTCAGGTAGGGTGAAGCAAAAGATATTAGACCCCCCCCAACCTCCTTCTAACACCCAGTCCTGTTACCTGAGACCTACCTGGGCTAATGACTGACTCTCTACCTGGCTGGTCATGTTTTACCTGGAGTGGATTAATTATTAATGTTAGTGTTTTTTTTTTAGGATTGGTATAATGTTCACCTGAATGAAGGAAGTTACATTTTTTTTTTTTATTTTTACAGGATTATCTCACCGGACGGTCACTGACCCACATCAGGGCCTGGGGGAGAGCAAATATATATAATATATAATAATAGATAATAATAATAACCTAATTTATTATTATTACAACAATTAATAAAATTAATAACAAATTAATACAAATAACAAATGGAAATAATAATATAATAATAATAATAATAATAATAATAATAATAATAATAATAATAATAATAATAATAATAATAATAATAATAATAATAATAAATGAATACAAAACGAAAAAAAAGATCAATAATGAGAAACAATATATATATTTGTGTTGTGTGAGAAACAATTGAGACCCTGCAATTGTGTGTAAATGAGGCAGAAAGTCAGATCAGCAACCTGGGACTTGGTCTTACCGTGATGCCATATGGCAGCAGGGTCTACTATTAGACAACACATTATGCTTCCAATATCTTCCCAGGCGGTAGTACCTCCCTGTTTGGTAGCTACTTACTACCTACTACCTGCATACATACATACATACATACATACATACATACATACTATTCAACAACTCTCATACACTCTCCCTCTCCCACACACACACACTCTTCCTCGGCCAACAGATACACGAGAGGAAGCATTTATTACATTCTTCGTGTATAAATGGCTTTGTTATCCTGCCAGACACCTGAAACTGTGTGTGTGTGTGTGTGTGTGTGTGTGTGTGTGTGTGTGTGTGTGTATGTGTGTGTGTATGTGTGTGTGTGTGTGTTATAATTACAGTGAGTGAATTTTAATATATATAGAACATTATAATTCATCTTACCTGTTAGTACCTCTTGATTAGAATACATCGATCACCTGAAGATTAGGCACCCTAGTTTATTGTA